CTAATCAGGACATTGCTCCCTCCTCTGTCTATGGCACTGCAACCAGGTTGGACTCACAACATAATCCTGGCACCATTGCCAATGTGACCTGGTTGTTTGATTTGGATTCGGGTTTCAATTATTTAATCCGGTTTCATTTCTGCGACATTGTAAGTCGTTCACCTAAACAACTGTTTTTCAATGTTTATTTCAACTCCTGGTTTGTTGCCAGGGATCTTGATCTTAGTAATTTAACGTCAAACATCTTGGGCGCCCCATATTACCTTGATGCCATCGTAAGGTTAAGAAATAGCGGTCAGATCAACATAAGTGTTGGCCCTTCTGATGTTTATAATGCTTATCCAGATGCCATTCTTAATGGGTTGGAGGTGATGAAAATAAGCAATTCCAGGCACAGCCTCGACACTATAGACTCCTTGGCATCAAGTTCTAAGAAAAAAGTTTGGGTGATAGGGGGCTCAGCAGCCGGGGCATTGTTTATAATTTTGATTCTGGCTTTGGTTTTCTTCCTAGTATTCAGAAGCCGAAGACAGGCACATGTCGATCACTCAACACAGGATGATTTCACCATGAATGGAGGAGAAAGTTTTCAGCAGAATAAACAATCCAGGGGAACTTCCATTTTTTCCAGACCGAAAAATGGGTATCGAATCCCTTTTGTGGCAGTTCAAGAGGCTACTGATAATTTCAGTGAAAGTTTGGTCATTGGAATTGGTGGTTTTGGGAAGGTTTACAAGGGGGTTTTAAGTGATGAAGCAAAAGTGGCAGTGAAGAGAGGGGTTTCTCAATCTCAGCAGGGACTAGCAGAATTTCAGACTGAGATTGAAATGTTGTCTCAGTTTTGTCATCGCCATTTGGTGTCCTTGATAGGCTATTGCAATGAAAAGAATGAGATGATCATAATTTATGAGTACATGGAGAAGGGTACCCTGAAGAATCATCTGTATGGCTCAGAACTTCCCAAATTGAATTGGAGACAGAGGCTTGAAATTTGCATTGGATCAGCAAGGGGACTTCACTATCTTCACACAGGTCCTGCTAAGACTATTATTCATCGCGATGTCAAGTCTGCAAATATATTACTGGATGAAAATCTCATGGCTAAAGTTGGCGATTTTGGTCTTTCAAAGGCTGGTCCCGAGATTGATCAGACACACGTTAGCACAGCAGTGAAAGGGAGTTTTGGTTACCTTGATCCAGAGTATTTGACAACGCAACAACTGACTGAGAAATCAGATGTGTACTCCTTTGGCGTAGTTATGCTTGAAGTTCTTTCCGGGAGGCCTGTTATTGATCCATCCCTTCCAAGGGAAATGGTAAATTTGGTTGATTTGGCAATGGAGTTACAGAAGAAAGGTGAGCTCGAAAAGATTGTAGACCCTCATATAATGAGTGAAATAAAACCAGAATCATTGAGGAGGTTTGGAGAGACTGCTGAGAAATGCTTGGCAGAACATGGCCATGATCGCCCTGCGATGGGAGCTGTGTTATGGAATTTGGAATATGCACTTCACCTTCAAGGAAACGTTATTAGACACAGTCCAAACAGTGAACTGTCAAAACATCAGTGGGAGACTAGTGTTTCTACGACGCAATACAGTATGGGAAGTATGGGTGATCTTGCTGATGTTTCGATGGGTAGAGTTTTCTCCCAGATGGTGAAAGCAGAAATGATGTAGATTGAGGAGGGAAACAATCCTTCAACACAATCAGAGTTCCATTTGTCATTGATAGTCAATTTTCTTTACTTCAGCTTTTTATTTTTCTTTTTGGGTGGATTTCTTATGCATCTTTGTACGAAATAAAAGTTTTGTTTGCCATCAAAACAAAGATATATTTAACAAAGGTGTCCCTGGATTTGTGTCACTGTTCAAAAGGCATTTAAGTTTGCTAGATTATATTTTACAAAGGTCTGTTAAGTATGCCTGGGGATTTTCTTGGTTAAAAAGCTCTTTGACTCACAACAAGACACTTCCATATAATTTTTGGCATTTTTGGATGGGTGAGTAATGGATATGTATTTGGTTATTATAAAGTGTTACTTATGTTTTTTCATGCTCTCTTGCCTTTTTTTTTTTTTTTGGTTTAACTGTCCGGGTGATATACTCACCTCGACTAATCTTCTCAAAGTAAGTCATTCATATCAGGACTAGAGTATTCATAAGAGATAAATTTCTTATAATCTAGTCTCAAAAGATTGTCAAAATTTAAATTCAAAACATTTGAATTTGCAACTCACATTTGTTACCACTTAAACTGTCCCTTGTGGTCACTCACATTTTATTTTGTTATTACAAAAATCACTTTTGGTGTAAAGTAATAAGTAATAACCAAATGGTAAGTATGTAATAAGTTAGTTTCACAAACTCACTTCAATTGGCTTATTGAGCTCACCTGGTAGGGGTGTTCAAATTTTCGATTAGTCGCAATTTTCTACCTTATCTTACTGAACGGCTAGCCGCAAAAATTGAGAACAAATGTGGAATAGTTTTTGGTCTTTCGATTAAATTGGGTAGGAATGCGGAATATCCATCAATTTTCGCATTCCTACCCTACCTGCAAAAAATATATTTAATTTTTTAATATTTTTTTTAGTAATTATAATAGTATTTATGTGGTATAATTTATATTATAACATGATTATAGTTGTGGATATTTGAGTTGTCAAAACATGGACTTATTTTTTGTGTATGTTACATGATTTGTAGTAAACTAGTGATCTATTAAAACATTTATGATTTTAATATGTTTTATATGGTTTAAACTTAAAATAATTGTTGTTGTATTTGTATAACAATTATGATAGATTGATATTCTTGATTTCTTATGTTTTATTGTAATTGTTGTTGTTGTTGTTGTTTTAGGTTTTAGTGTTATTTATTTATTATGTTGTTAAATTGATGCATGTTATTTAATTGAATTGTTAAAATGATCCAAAAATTAATAGCTACAAAAGTGTTTATCCGACTTTCTATCCGATTAATTGGGTAGGAAGTCGGGTAAGAATACCACACCTGATCGGGTAAGGTAGGCAAAAAAGAATCTTTTTCATAAAGTATCAGGTAGAAAGACAAAATACTATATTTTCTATCCGTAGGGTAGGGTGAACACCCTTACCGTCTGGTTCAAAAATGCTACTAACGATTAGGTCTATCACTGGATTGGATTTTTTTATCTGATTCAATCTGAATCTAATTAGTCGAATATAGATCGATGTTTTTTACGGATTATCCGAACTTGAATTAGATATCTTATATTTTACAAATTCGAATTTTGATATATTTCCTTTGTATATATTACTAATTTACCCCAAATACACCTTTCATGGGGGAGCAGATTTTGATAATGAGGTATCCTAATTGCATTTTCAATGTTGATGTTCTTGGCGACTTGCATGTTGTTATATACATTGAATATTTGTCTCAGCTTCTGATTTTTCTTCTTTATTGTGAGTTGTCTGTAATACCGTGTTTGTCTTCTTGTGTCGCATGACTTGAATTAAAATGGACCGTTGATATTGTGCTTGTCATCTCATGACACAGACGGGTTAGAATTGGCTGACAGCATCTGTTACAATGAATTATCTGTATGTCAAAATTTTACTAACACAACTAGTATATACTCTGTTGTAAATTTGATTGGTGACATCTTTGCAGTGTGAGTCCTGACTTGTGCATTTGACTTGTTCTACTTACAGGGTGCTGGGCTGGAACCACTCAATATAGCGTCAAGGACTCTGCTGGAGACATCCATGGCCCCTAGCCACCCCACCTCAACCAAGGTATCTTCGATTTCTACCACAAATGAAAATAAGAGTTAGTATTAACAGATCTCATGAGGTTCCTGCGAAATCCAGTACAGATGGGACGGCTTCTGATGCTGGCAAGAGTAGAGGGTTTTCTCTTGATGCTTTAGCAAAAGCCAAGAGAGCTTTACAAATGCAGAAGGAGCTCTCAGAAAAGTTGAAGAAGATTCCTCAGGTGGGTTGATAATAAAAAAATCAAGATACTTATTTACAACATTTATGATTTGCTTCATTCTAGCTGTCTTATTGTCAAGAAACTTTAGCATTTTGTTTATGAGCATTTTTCCATGCATGATACAAAGAAAAAATTAGCTTTTTTTCTCATTATGTTATGGGTGACATGATGGTATAGATTTGATTATACTACTAAGCCCAAAAAATCATTTTGATATACCATGTTAAGAATTGCTTTCGTCATTCTAGCTTGCTTATTGTCAAGAAACTTTGGCATTCTGTCTGTTGAGAGAAACTTTAGCATTTCATTTGGTAGCATTTTTCCTTGTAATTTAAAAAGAAACAATTTGCTATTTTCTTTGAGATGTAATTGGTGACATGTTATCATTTTGATTATCCAGTTAAACAAGGGCGCTGGCTCAAGCATAGACGGTAGTTCACAAGTTGGATCAAAGGAGGGTTCCAAAGCCTCATTTCCTTGTTCAGGAATAATTTCCACACCTGTCTCCTCCGTAACTGCCGCTCTTCCTGTTCTTGCTGGAGCAACATCAAATGTGTCAGCTTTTGCAGCTTCTGTGACACCACCTGGGAGTGACATGTCTCATCTTACTGGGCTTACCGCACAAAACTATGCAGTGATTCAACGTGCACAAGAGCTTGCTGCCAAGATGGTATCTCAACAAGACCCAGAGTTTGATACCCTGATGAACATGTTTCCTGGCCTGATGCCAGCAGAGGTTCCCGTCCAGCCGAAGCCTGCCAAGACCCCTGTTCTTCTTTTGGATGCACTGGGCAGGGAAATTGATGAGCATGGGAACCTTGTAAATATGCGCAAGTTAAACAACCTGAGTACCCTGAAGGTTTGTTATATGTTTCCTGCTCATGTTGACGTCTGTTTCCCATAGTTTTTACGATTTTGTTATTTAAGTGCTTAGCTCTGACTTTCATTCAACAATCCAGGTCAACATCAATAAGCAGAAAAAAAGGCTTTCCAAATACTCCAACCTGAGCTGGATGTTGATCCTGACGAAAACCCTCATTTTGATCCAAGGATGGGTATCAATAAAAATAAGCTTTTGAGGCCCAAGAGGGCATCTCTTCAGTTTGTAGAGGAAGGCGAATGGTCAAAAGAGGCTGAGCACATTAAATTGAAGGTAGTTTCTTCCTATCCTGGTCTCTCCCTTCATATTAAACCTGTTTTGATTTTTTGTTTCCACTTGCTTTCGCAGAGTCACCTTGGAGAAGCACAAGCCAAGGACTTAAAGGTGAAGCAAGCTCAGCTGGCAAAGGCAAAGGCAGAGCATGGTATAAATCCAAATCTGATAGAGGTATCAGAGAGAGTTATCACCAAAGAAAAACCAAAGGATCCACTTCCTGAAATCGAGTGGTGGTAAGTTGACCCAACTTATTTATTGGTGTTATATGATGCATGCCTCCTTTTTCAGAAAACATCTTTTATAAGCTTTACACTAGCCAATCAAATGATTATTAATGATTATTAACTATTCTGATCTTTTAATCAAAAATTCACACTAATTGACTTGACTAGATATATTTCTGTACTTGTCATCAAGCAGGAAGTCAATCTCCTATGAATATATATTATATACGTTGGTAAACAAAATTAATCATTTGTAACATGTCTCCAATGTGTCTATGTCCTATCTGTATCGTTCCGTATCGGTGTCCTTTATCCATATCTATGCTTCTTAGATTGTGACCAACAGGGCGGTTTTGTTAAAAATTGCCAATAGCTTACCATGAGATAGGTTTAAGGTGGGAAGAAATTGATAAATATTGGTATTGGCTGCAATTTATGTTTCATTTTTATCTTTATTTTTCGGTAAATATGTTTGTTTACAGGATTTTTTCTTTGTTACAGAAAGGATCACAAAGATTTGAATAAATGTGTTTACAATTGTCCAAACTAATTCTTTACTGGGCATGATATTGGTTATTTACATTTCCATCTGCTTAGAACAATGTTCGTAGCTTGTGTGATTAGGTTAAGGTTTGCAAATAGTTGCAGTAGTTGAATGACTAAAACTAGGGTCTTCCACGTCATTTTATTTGAATTACAGGGAATGGGGGAAATTCGTTGCTTTAGAAGCTTCTGTACTTGACAAGGCCTATTATTTCTCCTTCCTTTTTTTTTGGGGGGGGGGGGTGGGGGCTTTTTTTTTTCTTTTTTATTAAAGGTGGGGGGTGTTGAGGGGGGAAGAGAAGGGGGGGGGGGGGTGTGCCTTCCTTTTCCCTTTCCCAGCTTGCTTTGCCTCTGTTGTCAAATTTGTACCTTTTAGACAGTTAATTGCTGTGGGGTTTCTTTTGTTTGTCCTCTTTTGGATCCATCTTATGTAATGTTTGATATTGGCCATATCTGCTATGTAATTTATGCTTCTCTATTTTTGGTTGCTGAAACTTTCAGGGATGTGCCTCTTTTGCAATCTGGTACTTATGGAGACATTACTGGTGGTAGCATGAACAAAGATAAGCTTAAGATGTAGAAGATCACCATCTATGTTGAACACCCTCGTCCTATTGAGCCCCCTGCTGAACCAACCCCACCACCACCTCAACCCCTTACGCTTACCCCAAAGGAGCGAAGAAAACTTCGTACACAACAGCATCTGGCTAGGGAAAAAGATAGGCAGGAGATGATTAGACAAGGCGTGATAGAACCTCCAAAACCAAAAGTTAAAATGAGCAATCTCATGAAAGTTCTTGGCTCTGAAGCAACCCAGGATCCCACCAGACTTGAGATGGAAGTCAGAAGTGCAGCTGCCGAGCGTGAACAAGCTCATGTAGACAGGAATATTGCACGTAAGCTCGCTCCTGCTGAACGTCGTGAAAAGAAAGAGAGGAAGCTCTTTGATGACCCAAATACACTAGAACCTATAGTTTCGCTACACAAGATAATTGATCTCTCACATCCCCTAACCCGGTTCAAGGTTGATGTCAATGCCCAGGAGAATCGGTAGACAGGATGTGTTGTAATTTCAGATAGCATTAGTGTTGTGGTGGTTGAAGGTGGGAGCAAATCTATTAAGAGGTATGCGAAGCTTATGCTTAAGCGTATAAACTGGGCTGCTGCTGTGAAAAACGAGGATGAGAATGAAGAAGAGGACGAGGAGAAACCAGTGAACAAGTGTGTGTTGGTTTGGCAGGGAAGTATTGCTAAACCAAGCTTCAATAGGTTTTTTGTGCACGATTGCAGGACTGAAGCTACTGCCCGGAAAGTGTTTTCTGAAGCTGGGGTTGCTCACTATTGGGACCTTGCTGTAAACTTCATGGAAGACCAAATATAGTTCGACGAGTTTTGATGGAACTGTGTTATCCACAAAACTTCTGTTTGATTTGAGCTTGCTTTCTTTCGTCTTCTGGCCCAGTTATCTGTAAGTTCAAGCTTTATCCCTGATTACTTGATTCAAAGATTTAATTTCAAATTGCAACTGTAGCATAGCCTAGTAATGTTACTTTGCTTCTGAGTTTGACTTTTCGTTCTCAGCACCCATGCCACGCACTGGCCCCGGCCGGGTGGAGTAACCATCAAATAATTCTGAGCAACATATAAAATCTTCAAAATATGTGTGCAGAATTTAGAATAAACTCGAGAAAATCTGGAAAGAGAGCATACGAGGATGATCTTCGACCCCCTTATTTGCTAGAAAATCTGCAACCTGTTTTGCTTCCCCATAACTGCTAACAGACTTATACATGGACAAGTATAACATTTATATGTTCAGTAAAATGCATCAGTATTAAAAATGACATTTGTATGTTTTATTAATTCGTTGTTTGGTACGATTGAAAAATCGAAAGATGAAAAGTTGGAGAGATAGATAAAATATCATGTTTGGTAAAGATGAAAAATTAGAAAGATAAAAAAATTGATGGATTAACTTTCTTTTCAACTCATTAACATCAAGTCCTTCAAAAAGTAGATAAAAAATTAATTATGTGTTAAAAATGTATATTTATTACTTATATATCTTTTGATATATGTATATATTATATTTATAAATTAGTTATTGGAGTAATAAAAAAAAGGGTTAATTACAAAATGCTCCCTTCAAATTTAGGTCACATTTCAGTCAAGTCCCTCTGGTTCCAATTCAAGCAATTTGCTCCTTTCAAGTTTGGACATTAACTCAGCTACCTATTGCCGTTAAATCTGAACCTAAAAACTAGACAGATGTTTACCAAGTTAATATCACCTGACCTTGAATTCATTTAAAAGGCAATTTTTCCCTTCCATCTCTCTGCATTCGAAAAACAAAAAAAAAAGAAAAGAAACTGGTCCACTCCCACCGCCACCACAATACCAACCAGAACCCTTTTCAACCTGATGATGCTGCACTCACTTTTGCCACTAGCAACCTCAACCAGGTAGGAATCCCTTTGCTTACCAAAACACATCTGCCCCTTCCATGGCCACCAACCCACCAGTGCCCTCCTTCTCCGACCACCACCACCTCTATAACCCACTCTTCTTCTTGTTTTTCAAATGATATAATAGGAGTTGGCTGTTAAAGTTTCTTGTTGGAGGGGTATTTCAAGTTTCCAGTAGTTATAGTTTTTAAGTTGCAGGGATTGTGTTTTTCTTCACAAAAAATCAACCTATCTATGGGTTAGGGAGAGAGTGCTTAGTCTGGAATTCCCAAATTCTAAGCCTTTGATTACCAACCAAAAGGAAATTTGTCTCGCTTAGATTTTGACAATAAAATTTGAATTTAAATTGAACGTTAATAAGATTTTGACGATTTAGTTGTTGTTGTGGCGTAGATGATGATTGGGCGGTCTCTTTTTCTTCTTCTCTTTCCTTTGTGGTTGGATGGTGGCTGCTGGTGGCAGTTGGGCAGTGGCTGGTGATTGGGTTGTTGGGTGATGGTGGTTAGGTGGCTGGTAGTAGCAGTTGGGTGGTTGGGTGATGTCGTGATGGGGTCGGCAAGGTCTGAATTGGTTGTGATTCAGGCTCTGCTGGCGCTCTGAATTTTTTGGCCTTAATTTACTCATCTCTTCCTCTATCAGTCGTCGCCTCCATCTCTCTCTCTCTTTCTCACACACACACACACACACACACACACTGAAACAGATACCCACACCCATCGCTGATCGTTGCACTCAGCAACTCCTCACAGCCGACCGCCTCTCTGTCAGCTGCTTTTAGTTTTTGGTCATTGCACAGTTAGTACTTCTTCTGGGTTGCGGGCATGTAAGTTTTCTTGGTGTGCTGAGTTATTGCTATCCCATTTTGCTGATTCTTTCTCTTGTAGATTGATGGTTACTGTGTTGTGTTGCTGAAGACTTTTGTTTGCTGATTGTGGGCTCGTTGTTATGCTAGACTTTGTTTTGGATCATGGGCCTTGCCTTGGACTATTTTCTTACTGTCAACAGTTTATTTAGGCTTGGATTTGGACTGTTTTCTTGCTGTCACAAGTTTGATTTGAGCTTGTTAACTTGCTGTTTTTAATTATCACTAATTATATGGTCAAAAAAAAATTATTACTAATTAAAACTGACTGGTGCCAAAAATTTGTGGATTTTACTAATTAAAATTGACCCGCGCCAAAAGTTTGGGCTTGGGCAGGTACGGGGAAGCGGGGACGGGGGTTGGGATTAAAAATTTACCCGCGGATGAGAATGAGGATAAAAATTATACCCGTTAATAGGGGTAGACTGGGGATGGACGGAATTTTTTTAAGTAGGTACGGGGATGGAGACTACACCCCCTTCTTCGCTTCGGTCCTCTGACATTCCTAGTTCACCAGCAGTGTACCAACATGTCTTTTTCCAAATTGTTTCAATTTGTTTTGGCCAAAAAGGACATGTATTGGAGCAGAGTGTTTTGGGGGTTTCACGTAAAGCGATTTTTCTCTCTTCTTATTCTTGAGAGGCCCTCTTGCATGATAAAATTGTGTTCTTGAGAGAGATTTCCATTGGTTTGCTCTTTATCCAAGAGAGAGAAGTGCCATATGGTGGTGTGTGTTTGGTGAAGGCTCCGCCCATAGTGAAGGCGATTATCCAAACCTAAACAGTGGGAATGGGAGGTGGGTGGGAGGAGAACGACGAAGGAACCTTTTCGAAGGATATTTGCGTAATTTCATACATTCTGTCAATCTCCTCGGTTAACTAAGCTGTAACTTGAGGGGGGCGAATTTTTAAAATTGAAACTAGTGGGAGTCGATTGAAACATCATATAAACTTAGGGGGTAAATTATAATTAATCCTAAAAAATTGTCAATCATAAATATATTTGTATTCACACCCAAATTAAATCACAAATATAAAGAAGAAAGAAAGAAAGCAATTTAAGCATCGGTTGTAGGGGAAGGTAAGCGGTGGTAGTGGTGGTAGTGGGAGACGGTGATGTTTATGGTGGGCGGCGACAACCCTGGTGGTGGTGGCAAAGGTGATGGTGGTGGTGGGTTTTAGGTGACAGTGGTAGTTGCAGCCATGGGTGACGGCAGTGGTGGTGGTAGTGTAAGTGTTGGTGGACGATGAGTGCTTGTTGGTGACGGTGGTGGCTAATAACGGTGGTGGTCGATGGTGGGTGGTTGGTTGTGGAAGTGGGTGGCAGCGGTGGGCGATGATGGGTGGTGGTGGGTTGTAGTTATGGGCAACGAAGGTGGTGATGGGTGGTAGTGGTATAATAATGATAGTGGTAATAAATATAAGAATGAGATGATGATAGTAACAGTAGTAACAAATGGTGGTGGGTGACGACGACGCGATGGTGGTAACAATAGCAATCGATGGTGAGTGACAATAACAATGGCGGTTTTTTTTTTTTTTTGGGGAGGGGGGGCAGCAATGGTGAAGTGTTTTTATAAGTGTGGGCTTCGAACTTCGACTTCGCACTACATTGACTTTGCCTTTGCCTCTCCCTTTGCCAATTGAAATCGGAGTAGAATTTCGAAAATGGACAATTTTCGAAACAAAAAAAAAAACAGACCATAGAGAGAAACATAATGTATACATATATATATATATATATATATATATAGAGAGAGAGAGAGAGAGAGAGAGAGAAAGAGTAACTGTGTAAGAGAGCTTCAATTGGAGATTTGGTTCTCAGATTTGAGATCTGAGACCATCACAGGTGAGATCTTCAATCGAAGATGAACCATCGTCGGAGATGAACCCATCTAAGATCTATTGTTGGTGAACCCATTTGAGATCTATCACTAGTGATGTGTTCACTAGTGAGCCATATGAGATCTATTGTCGAGAGAGATGGAGGGGCTAGGTTGCTCCTGCTCGTCCGAGAGAGAGAGACGGAGATGGAGGGGCAAGAGCAACCCAGAACTATGAAGAAGTTTTACTATGTGTCCGACATTAAATATCCTATATGTCGCATATTTTTTTTTTTTTTACTTTCATATAAATACTCACTTATATCCAATAGACTATATATCTTAAAATGTTGGACTACTGGTTTATATTTACATCTTTTGGTCTATTCAACTGTAGGTCCAATATTTTGTATTTTGTTAATAGGCTCTAAGTGAATTGTTTTTCTTCATTTTAACCAATCATTTATATGTTGACAATCATATATTGTATAGTTCAAGATCATCACCATTTTAGATTTCAATAACTATTATATCATTGATAATCATTTTTGTGCGATCCCACACCTCATCTATGTATGCATACTGAATAAAAATTTATTTATTTGTAAATATCTATATCTTTTTAGGAGTTATGTGTCTCTTTATGGACTTTCCTTTTCAGGGATTATTATTTGAGATGATGTGGGTGTATTTTTATTTTCTATTTCAACTTTTTTTTCTTAAGTCATATGTAGTTGTCTTTCAGGAGCTAAATTTTTTAACCTATGTGTCGACCATGCTTTAGGCGTGTAAGAAAGTTTACGCTGTTCTTTAGGCGACAGATTTCCTCTATCTAACAATGGGAAGTGTCTCAATTTTTATTTGTAGGTACATAACTTCTTGCTATCTCATTATTTTTATACATTTTTTCCTCTGTAGGAGATATCTCTTTAGGAGATTTAGTTTACTAATATTGAACTGATCAATATTTTTATTGTCTATTTTGTGGGTGTGGTCTCTTCGGGAGTGCCAACCTTTTTTTTTTTATAAAACTTTCATTGTATCTTTTTTCTTTGGTCTCTTCGGGAGTACCAACTTCCTTCGGAAGAATTAACTTTCGTAGTATTTTTCGTTATTTTCTTCTATTGTGGAGAATCTTGTCTATTGCTATGACAAGTCTTTTACGTTCTAGCGCAATCGAGATAAATTCATTTCATAATATTTTTAAGCAAAGTAAAAAGATATTTATCTTATATATTCATATGCTATAAAAAAATAATAATCTCAACCTTTTAATAAGATCCAATGTATTGCAAATA